TTCCAACTATACCAACACCTTAATTTTTTTGTTTGCAACTATCCCAAAATAAATTCTATCCTAAAATCTCATCTGCCACATCACCCCTCTCCTCCGTTTTTCTTTTTCTTTTTCCAGTCTTTTTCCCCAGTTTCTCCCTGCTTCATCTCTTTCCTATTTCTTTTCTCCTTCATTTGGCAGAACACGCATTACCCTTCCCCCCAAATTCTGTCTTTGACTTTCCTACGCAACATCTATTGTCGGCGACAAACTTATGAGCGGCGATATCCAACCGCGGCAGGGTCTGCGGACTATGCTCGTCCACAGTGGTGCAATGCACAGTGCTCGGACCTGAGTGTGGTGACTAGGCGACGAGTCGTTAATGGCGGTCGATTGACGTGTGATCTTTGGCGATTGCCAATCCGACACCAAACCCGACGACAAACGATTTTGAAATATGACGATCATTGATGGTGGATTTTTGGCCGCTGACTCGGTTCGATGGTTGTTGAGCGATGGCTGATGACTGGTTCGACCGGACTGCCTATAGGTTAACGGCGAGGGCCCTGTCTCCTCAAAGAGACGGACGTGAGTGGATATGCGGCACTGGGTCGATTGGTGGCCGCTGAAGGCTTAGGGTGATCGACGCCATTTGATTTGTGGTTTTTATCGGGTGAGATGTCTTAGTGAGAGTTTTTTCACATGTTTTGATTTATTTATGTTTTAGAAGATTTCAATATTTATTTGACATTTATTAATAGTTTATATTTGAAATACGAATATAAAGTTTTTAGCCATGTCACGAGATCCGATAATTTAAACCAATTATAAACTATAAATAAACTAAACGTAAAATTAAAGAAGAAATAATCTACAATAAAAGTATATCGCTTATGTAAATAAACGTAAAATTAAATAAGAAATAATCTACAATAAAAGTATATCGCTTATGTAAAGGTGTAATTTTTTTAAAAGTTTAGAATTTACGCAGTGTTTTATTTAAATTGTAGTATATATGTAAATTTGAAACCACATTTTACTTGAGAGTATGACTTATGTAAAGGTGTAATTTTTTTATAAGTTTAGAATTTACGCAGTGTTTTATTTAAATTGTAGTATATATGTAAATTTGAAACCACATTTTACTTGAGAGTATGACTTGTTCTTCTATCCAAAAGTGAGGCTTGGATTCGGATGTCTCACAAGTTCAACAAGTTCTGTTTTCAGCTTAGGGAAGATGCCATTTATTTTGTGAGCATTTAAGTTGGAAATTTCCTTGTCAGACTTAGTTGTTTGGGAGACGAAAATAATTCTTTTGTTGTTCATAGCATTGTTATCAGACTTTATCGTTTAGTATGGCTTTTTCAGTTTTATGTTTTTGTATTGGCTTAAAATTCCTTCGCTAGAATAGTTGGTCTCCAATTAATACAGTTAATATGCCTTTTTGTTTTATTTTGTTTGTTTTCTTTTTNAATTTGATTATATTCTTCAGATTGAAGGTTTTTAGCTCTCCTTTAACTAATAACTAGTACATAACCCGAGCTACGCACGGACTGTATTTATTTTAGGAAATATAGTGTAGTACCGGTGCGCAGTACGGTGATATTATTTCCTCAAACTCTTTTTTCTAAACTTTATTTAATATTTTTGTTTATAAATTAATAATTTGATTGTAATAGAAAAAAAAGAGATAGAAATACAAAGTACAAAAAGAAAAATCATATATTATTAAACACTTATCTATACACAACATTATTGGTTTGATTTGCTTTCAAACCTTATTCTCCCCAAATTGAAATTTTCAGACCCTTTCTATTAGTAACACGAAAGACAACGACATATAACTGGCTATGACTAAAAACTGGTTTCTTCAAGAATAAGCTAACATGAGATAAGGATTGACCTTGACTCTTGTTTATAGTCATTGCATACGAAACCATAATGGGGAACTGCCTTCTTTGGAATTTGAATGGTACTCTAACATCCGAAGGAGTTATGGTCATTCGAGGTATCAAAACTTTATCACCTGCATGATCGCCAGTAAGAATTTTACACTCGAGAACATGATTAGAGAGTTTGGTCACAACCAATCGTGTACCATTGCAGAGTCCCATTGAGTGATCCATGTTCCGCAACAACATAACTGGAGTTCCGACCTTTAAATTCAACTCATGATTCGGTGTTCCAGAACACTTGATAGTATTCAAGAACTCAAGAGTATGGAGTTGTGCCAAAAAGTCGGTATTGGAGTCAGATTTACACGTACTGTCTGAGCTTAAATACGTGCGTCCTTCAGTAAAATTCAACGACGACATGTATGCATTTATAGATTCTACGACATCGAGTGTTGGCGCGAGTATAGCCCTATCTTTCAAGTAACTTGGATCATCAGTTGCATTCTTGAACATCGGATACGTGCTTTCAACATTTTTTGCAATTGGATCATCGGATGGCTCTAGTAATAGATCATCTGGTATGTCTATCGGAGCACATCCATCATTTGTACCCCCCAATGTGCCATCTCCGATGCTCGCTATCCAATCAGCAAAAGCGGCTAGCTCGTCACGTTAATTCGAATCGCCAATGCTCTAAAGACACATGTTCTTTGTAAGTCTAAACACAGTACAGTCTCCCCAAATGGTATAAGAATTAATAGCAGCATTAACAATCTCCTGACGATTCTCCTTTGGAACTACCGGAAGGATTTATAAGTCTCCACCAAACACAACAGTCTTGCCTCCGAAAGGTTTATGATGATTTGCCGGGTCAAGTGCACCCATTATTGCCTTAAAAGAAGCTTGAACAGCTTCAAAACAATGCTTGTGCATCATAGGTGCCTCATCCCATATGATGAATGAAGAGCGAATAATCGACTCTGCAAGGGGGCTAGCCTGATTGATATCACACGATGAATTTTCATGCACAGAAAGAGGAATGCCAAATCGAGAATGTGCAGTTCGACCGCCCGACAACAGGAGAGATACTCTTCCACTTGATGCAACACAAAGAACAATTCGACCGCGCGATCTTAGCCCAGCAGCTAAAGTCCTCTACAAGTATGTCTTGCCAGTTCCACCATAACCATAAACAAAAAACACGCCGCCCCTACCGGAATCAACAGATGTCATTATTCTGGAATAAACACCCTTCTGTTAATCGGTCATATGTGTCAGCAATTCATCATGCTCATTAGCTAGAGCCTTACGGTCATAGTTAAGTTCATCCATAACCAGACGGTTCGCACTTGAATTAATACTACTCATATCTGGAAAAAGGCATAGTAGAATAGTCCCGAAGACTTGTGTCACGATGTCTCAATAATGTCTCAATCTTTGCAAGAGCTAAGTTTTTTATATCCGCATCACCCAACTTCAAACATGAAATAATGATAGATGACCTATTAGATTTTGTTTTTTTACGTGGAATACAAAAAAATTCAATAATTAAGAAAAATGATGTTACTATAATACTTGATAAATGCATAATATAAAACGCCCTAATCTCATAGCATCATTATCAAAAAGACGACGTTGCTTGTATAGTATGTCGTCAGATAGCAATTGCCAACACCGTTCCCAAAATTTATCGGGTTTGCCTAAGGATCCAGAAACCAATAAAGACGCAAACATGCGCCTAAGAGAATCAGCATATGCCCACTGACTTGCATCGGTAATTTCATCAATGTACTCTCGATCATCACCCAACAAACCTCGTGCATAGCAAGCATCGGGATAGGACATGTATTGAACATCGCCTACCTTCATATAATCCTCGTGGCAAGTAGCTCCACGAACAACATAGACCAAACACCTCAAATAATAATTATCACCAGCATTGGGAGGAACATAGCTCAAGCGACCTATACAACCTGGCCTTATTCGAGAAGTCCAGACTCTTTCTTGATTGTTCCAAACAAATTTTGTCGGCGCCTCAACATACGTCAGTTTCCTCGCCTCAACATACGTCAGCCAAAGTTGGCAAGAACGAACTTAACATTTGAGATGCAAAAACCGCAACAACTAAACCTTCTGAATTTTTTATCCAAGCTCCCAAACACTACAAGTTTTTAATAGTTCTCTTTTGGCTATTTGTGCATTGAAGTTTTTCAAAAAGAAAGTTGTTGAATTGAATCGCAAAATGAAAATTGTAAAAATCATAGTTTGGCATCATTAGAAAACCTTTCTCTCGATGGTTGTTTTTTTTTTTTTNACTAGCAAAACAACTTGTTATTTATTTAGTTTTTATATTACTTAGTATTAATTATCTCCAGTTTATATTTGATGTAGTAAGTATTACTGAATCCAAAGTTTTTATAAGAAGTTTCGACACCATTTGTTCTTAACAAAACTTTGTACTTCCTTAAATCAACTATTGTGGCTATGTTCAATTTAGTAACTCATGGTCATGGAGAAATGAACAACCATAATCTGTTTCCTGAATTTCGAGAGGTGACAAGAGGATAGTTTGGGGTCTAATTGCTAACAATGAAGTCACATTAGCTAATTCATTTAAACCCATTTATATCATTTTCTAATTCTAACCATTATAAGCAGTTATTTCATAGAATAGCTTTCCATTTTAACACGAATTTCGTTCCAGTTACGGGACATCAGTTACTGAAGAACATCGTTCGTCAGATGCTAACATCACCAGAAATAGGAAATCAAATTGATTTCATACAAATTAGGTACACAACGAAAAGAAGACATGAAGAGAAAGTGAAATTAATAATTATCCTTGACCAGAAGCCACGCCCAACTAAATAATAAATGCATACGCGAAAACATTAATTACCTGTAATTAGCAACATAAAGCCGCATTATCCATTATCCATCACCCTCATCCAATCTTAAAATAGGGTTGGATTAATGACACAGCACAAATATATTATATAATTAAACTGATCCGCGTCCTATTACATTACATAAGTAATAATAATAATAACAACTAACGGTACGGTATCATATACGAAAATAGTACGCATAATTAACTGCCCCTTAATAGATTAGTAAATATATTGATTAAGAGGTGTAGGAGTTGAGGGTGAGCTCGAGCGAAGTCCTTGAGGCGGCAATGGAATCTTCCGGGCGGCGCTGATGGTGGTGCCACCCTGCAGCACTCAAGTAATTATAATTATTGTTATAATCATAATTAATCTCCTGGGAGTGGGAGTGGGAGTGCTTGATGTCGCCGTGCATTGGGAAGAGGGGAAGGGTTTCTCTCTCCTCATCTTCTTCATCATCATGATGTTCTAGGGTTTGAGGGGTATTTGTGTAATATCGTTTAGGGTCCTCGAGAAAAGGATAGGCCGAAGTGGAGTAGGGATCAACATGATGAGTATGACCTATCCATTTAAAGTTGCCGCCGCCGCCGCCGCCGCCGCCCCCCATATTTGCACTGTTGCTTTGGTTGATTGTACATTCCTGTCCCATATTATTATTATTATTATTATATATCAAAATTGAATAATATAATTTGGACAAAACAAATATACACACATAATTTGAAAAACTGACCCGGAAGGTGTCGCCATAACCATAATTTGGTCGAGTGAGGAAAGCTGGAGAAGAGGAAGAAGGGAAATTGAGAGGTGCTGCAATTCAAAAAAAAAATAAAAAAGATATATTATTAATTAGTAATAATAGAGTGTGTGTAGAGAATATATAATATTAATAATGAAAGAAGTTAAATAGGGTACGGTTAGTGGTGTAGAGAAGGGTTGATGGGTGTGGGTGTGAGTGTTGGGTGGCGGTGAAGCGCTTCTTCTGGCGCTCACGAGCCTTGTGGTTCTGAAACCAGTAAAAGACGTTTTTGCCCTCGATCTTTCCATAGTGGCGGAGCTTGGCTGAGATCCTCTGAATCTGGTCTGCGCTGGGTGAACGTACACCATTGTTGTAGTAAAGCTCTTTGAGGATCCTTATCTGCTCGCTTGTTGGGCTCCAACGACTGCTGCTGCTGCTGCTCTGCCTGCACACCTGCTCTTCCATTCTTCTTCTTCTACCTCTTGTTGTAATGAGTGAATGATTTTTGCTATTAGTATTGTTTATTGTGAATGAATGAATATTTGTGTTGTGTTGTGTTATAAAGAAAGAAAAAAAGGCCTGTGCCTGTGATTAGAAAGAAGAAGGATGATGAGGCCACATGGAGTGTGATGGTGACAGACGTACAGAGGATCAAGGGGATATCTGGGAGAGAAGGACTGAAGTTGACACACCAAAGCCAAGGGACAAAACAGGGACTATAAACATACACTATTTTCACACACACCTTTTTCTCATCTATCTAACTAGTACTACTACTACTATTATATTTGCTTCCATAACATCTTTTTTTGTTTTATTTTATTTTATTTCTCTCTCTCTCTCTATAATACTAATATTTTACACAAACTGGCTAGCTAACACCATTAATATTTGTCACTTCTCTTTTGAATCATCAATGTTACTATAAAGTTTGTGATGGCTTTTGTGATTCAAACAAACGAAAAAAAATTAAAAATAATAAAAAAGAAGGTGAGAGAAAGAAAGATTGATGAGAAACTTTAATTCATTCAACGTTAGTTCACCTTTCAATGCGGATACGCAGATATTATTATATCCATATTTCCTTCTTCTTCTTCTTCTACTTTCAAAACCCAAATAAATTAATCAGATATATATATATGGGGTAAATATACCTGCTCCACAAAATTCCTAGTGCTTTTACGCAAACTAGTTGTGACAGAGAGACATTAAAAGTATACGACCGAGACATGTAATAAAATGAGAGTGTGGGAGGTGAACACTATATGGCTCCCGTGGTTAATTAATTACTTGAATATATCTAGTAAAGTGCATGCTGTTATTTCAACAGAGCTGAGGTCATACTAAACTATTATTGGCCAGGGTAGCATTTATGTCGCCTTGCATTGCCTTACTCAATTATACTCATTATTTTTTTAACGTATGACGTTTATCCTAAATAAAATATTCACTCCTTTCCGCAAAGGAATATATGTGTGAATACACAATGTCGAGTGTAAGCGCCTCAGCTAAATAGAATTGCAATCAATACATTCTCTCCACCCCACATAAATATTTTACTACACTTTTTCTAATATACTACTAATGCATATCTCGCCCCACGAGAAAGTAGTATTATTTTTTTTGATTTTTTTATATATTGGACTAGACAAACATATTAAGGTTATTTTTAAAAATTAAATGTAGGACTAAATGATCATACTCTCTCATATTTTTATTATTTGTCATCATAGCTTAATTGATCATTTGTTAAATAAATATCGTTTTGGCTATTTGCTACATATTTTTCCATCATTACCTTCATCTAACTAATAAATTCATTACGTTTTTTTATATTCACTCTCCATCTTTTCTCAAAACATCAATCTCTATCCTCATTAATGAGGGTTATTATTGGCAAAAAAAATATTCTTAACTATTGTACAACTTCTCAAAACGACATTTATTAAAAATAGGAGGGAGTATTAAATTATTTCTAAAAAAAAATATTTGACTAACGAATATATTAAGCAGTTGAATAATTAAATTTAATAATAATTTTAAAGTGATTTAGTACGTAACCTTTCAAGTTATACACACAAACTATTGGTATGCTTATTTTTTTGAGATCATACACAAATTTAAAAGTATTCTTTAATTTAAAATTCTCATTCATTTATCTATTTATTAATTGTATTAAATTTTAAATATATCATTTACATTATCTATTAGATCAAACCAATTAATGTCAAAAATAAATTAATGAGATTTTATAATTCAATTTTATTAATCACCTCTTAAGAATACTAAATTTAAATTAATTTCATATGTTAATATATCTTAAAAAAACAAGTGATTGTCTGCATCAATTTTATAAATTTTTAAATAATAAACTAAAATATTTTACAGTTTTGAGAAAATATTTCGAAAAATATATCTTATTCTTCTTTACATCAACTTTCACTTAAAAAATTATGTACACGGATTTTATTATGTGATATCACCGAAGGCTAAAAGGTTGTATAGATTAGTCGAAATCAAAATGTGAACGTTAAAATAAAGATATGATGCACATACATAGAAAGAATAAATTAAAAATTATGAAGTAGCAATTTTTTACGTATATGTTGTAGGTTTCCACAAATGAAAAAATAAAAAAAATAAATAAATAAACACTTCACATCCGCATGGAATTGAACAAATTGATAATTTACGTGGATGTTGTGATTTGATTTTTCAAAAAATGAGATATATATTTACTAATATGGTGTACATTATTATTTCCTTTCTAAATAGATACTCACAGATGTGCTGCAAATTTTATTATTAGATTTTAAATTTAAAATTATCATCAATTATTATCAGATTTTAGATTTGGAATTATTTTTAGAATTTATAATAATATTTTAAAGGCGTCAAAGTTAAAATTATTTTGGAATTTCTATATTTAGTAAATAAAAAAAATTGACTTGATTTTTTTCTCACTATATAAGGTAAATCTTTAGTTCTTTATTATATTAATAGATATAGATAAATGCATTCATAGGTGCATTGGTATCCGTTTTAATACTAAAAAAATCAAAGCATAATTTTTTTCAATATAGTATATAAATCATGCGGTTCAATGAAATACACTAGTATATTAAGGAAATTTTACAATCATTTTTTTAGCTATCATACTAAATTTGTCCAAACACTGTGTATTTTAAATTTTAATGGTCCAAGGTTTAGATTTCTTAAGAAATAAATAAATTAATAGTTTTATAAATTGATGAATGTAATTACATAGTTTAAATAAAGATTGTCAAGTTTTTCAAAATTTGATAAAGATTTCTATTAATTGATAAACACAAATATAGAATAAACGATTTTCAAAATATTAAGAAGTTGAAAGCGGAAAAAAAAAGGGAAAATGTTAAAAGAAAAAAGGTAAGATGATATAAACATTACAAAATTATAAAATGAATTTAAAAAGTATGATAAAAGTGAAAACTCACAAGTTACATATTTGAAAATTTGTAAATAATGATACTGAAATTATATTGGAAAGACTACCTACAAAAATAAAACATTGTTATTTTTATTTGAAAAATAATATTGAACCAATTTTAAAAGATTATCCATAATAAGATAAAAAAAAAGAAAAGAAAAATAAACTATGTTCCCAAAAGATCCGGATGGAATAAAAAAAATAGTTATTTTGACTAATTTTCAACTAACCCTATGAAGAAGGAAATAAAATCAATACTAATTTTCATTTTAATTTTCAAAATTTAAATTATTTTAAAAATTTCTAAAATTTAGTAATTTTAAAATCTTTAAATTGGCTTCCAATGGCTTCTAAATCATTCGACCTACAAAAGGTCATTTATGTGTGTTGAGACCCAATTTAGCCTCGACTAATAAAAATGCTACACGCTGATATGTATTAAATAAATATAAATGTAGCAGGTTATCTGAGCTGATTATTTAAAATCGACCGAGTTCTGAAGTGCCCAGATCATCCATGTTCGAGCCGAGCAGAATTAATATCATCAGCCCGAACCAGATATCGAGAAGATCCGAGTCCGACAGACACAATAATTGTCGATAAAGTAGACGTCATTCGAAGCCGTCAAGTGTCACGATCGGGCCCCACGATGTCATCTCACATTAATTGTTCTTGTAATACTTTTTCTTTTATTAATGGTCCACTTGTAAGAAAAGGGCGACATATATAGAGGAAGAGAGAGAGAATGAGGGGGAGGACACTATTCCTCCATTTTCTACACACAAAATCAAGAAAAAGGGGTAGATCTTCATCTCCCCAAAATCAATAAAAATACATAATCGATCCTACACCGATTATTCACGGAATAGGGGTGTACATTTTTGTTGATACAATTTCGTTTATCAACAATGTGATTTTAGCTACCAAGTATAATTCGTAGACCTAATAGTTTCGTCCATTCTCAAAGAACCCATGAGTTCAATGGTTATCCACCATTGAATTCTACTAATGCTAAAATTCCCACACACTAGATGCCAAAATAATGTATGATTCATTTATCGAAGGATCTTTTTTTTTTTATTGGTTCTAGTCGGTGTGTTATTTATTTCATCTACTGCACTTGTGAGATATTTTGGCTCATTGAGTTTACAAATTGTCTACCTATATACCAAATGCATAAAACATTTTGTTTTCACCCATACACAATTTAGAAACTGAATACGAGTTCTTTCTAAAACTTGGTACGTAAAAACAGTTACTCAAAAAACAAAATTTCTATTTAATAGATTACTCCCACTGCAATAGTCGCCACTTTCATAGCAAGCCCATTCTACACAGTAATTTACCTATCACACGTCGATTGGTTTCCTGAAATCTTTTTACATAATTGGTGGTTACGTATCTATTCACCAGGTACTGATAGATAATACCACTAAAATGTTTTGACTTCTTAGTGAATAAAATTTACCTTTCTTGTCTTAAAAATAGGACAGTTCATCTTCCTATGTATATTCTGCTTAGACCAGATTCACTTGCCCTTCGGCTTGTATTCCTCGGCAAAATAAGACACTATCCATGTTCTATTTCTAATCATGTTTTAACAAGTAAATTATCTTTGAGAATTACGGACAACAGATTGAAAAGACATTTTGAATTCCTGGGATCCTGCATACAAAATTTTACTCAATTTAGTGTTTTTGAATTTTATCTTCAAATATTGATCCTTTCAAACAATATTCGAATAAATTCGCCGACACCTCAAAGCACCAAATCCCCGCAGGCCACTGAGTGTGGATGTCTACAGTTCAAGCTGTCACAAGAGGAAAGACTAATCCCATTAATTAATATACTGCCCCAACAACACTTAATTAATAGCCGGTCCACTTTTTTGGCCAACGCAAAATAGAAATGACCTTTTCTTTTGGGAATATCATAATAGTTTGCACTTTAAGTGTAACCCATTAAATGGTACTAAGTTTACTACAAAAATTATATG